AAATAAATAAATATATATATATATATATATATATATCACTAAATTCTTATGTATATATGCACCCAACACCTAAACTTCAATTTTTATATGCATACCACTGAACTCTTATGTATATACTTACCTAACACAAAAATTTCAATTTTTACATACATAACAAACTACCTATGCATTTCATACACCTAACACATAAACATCATTTTTTTCATTCATACCACATATGAATGGAAATATTGGTGAATAGGCTTACTTTCTTCAATGCTTTCTGCATAAAAGATTAAGGGAGTTTCGATGGTGTCTGTAAGCACGATCCGTCGTTCCTTCCTCAGCTAGCTATAATGGCGATTGTATTGTGAAGGTTTGTTCGTGAAGGCGATTGTTTTGAGCGAAACCTTAAGGGAGAGGGAGCTTCAGAGTGTTTCAAGAAGAAGGGGAGACCGAGAGAAGATTCGCGAAGAAATGAAATTTAAGTGAGCGGGATAGATATTTTAGATTAATTACGTCATATTTTCGTTTAATTTGAGTCGGAAATGTTCGATGCTAACAAGTTAAGTTTTTGTGTTGTTTTAGTCTACGCTAAATCCATCATTACTCTTGTTGAAGCTTCGTCATTTTTATAATGCTTTTTCCGTCGAACACTTGGATGTAATCAAACGCAAAATCTGTCGCAAATATCAAAATTTATTATCCGACACTTAACAACCGTAAACCCGACTCTAATACTTGCGTCAAAAATTCCGACGCAAATATTTTGCTGCAGTGAAAATTAAAAAGTGTTATATATCATGGCTCTTAATTATGACAAACGACACACTTGTAATTTTCATGCCTCTTTGGAGGCCTCATCTATCTATAAATAGATTAGGGGTCTTGTGGGATGAAAGACCACCATAAGGAGATAGAAAAATCTGATCAAGAAGATCAAGAGGAAGAAAATTCAGCAAGGAGAGGAAGAAAGAGAGGAGAGGCTTTAGAATTGAGGGAGAGGTCATAGAGATAGAGATCTAGAGAGACTTTGTGATGCCTCGATGTAATGAGCCTGTAATTCTTCCTTTGTGCCAGTGAATTTTGGTAGTGATTCCCTCCGTGGATGTAGGTCAATGGACCGAACCACGTAATCTCTTGTGTTCTTATGTTTTTGTAGTTCTCGTAGTTTTCTTTTGTTCTTGTTCTTATTTGTTACGGTAGTTCTTTCCTTCCCATTCTGTTGTTCAGGTAGTTCTTATTTGTTGCGGTAATTCTTTCCTTCCCATTCTGTTGTTCAGGTAGCCGAAGCACCGTAGGGGCTCTTCGACACAAAGCACTGTAGGTGCTCTTCGGCAATCCTATACTTTGACCTGTAGGAAGATCCTCAGCATCCAAGAACCGTTGCAGGGAGGGAGAACTCTATTCTCCAGCTATAGGGATCTAGGTCAAGAACCGCAGGCCTAGAGAAGTGAACGACAAGGAGTTCTTAACAAGTAGTGCAGTAAGGCTCTTTCCAACAAGAAAGAAGTTCTTGGATCCTATTCTTGCTGGAAAGATTTAGATAATATTATTAAGTTCTTAATCATCTAACTCAATACACAGAGAGTTCCCTAGAAGGTTTTCTTTCAGGTGTTCTTGGAACTTGGCGAAAGGATTCTTGACGGAGCGGATTTCACAGCAAAAAGAATAAAAATAACATAAATGATATCAAACAGGCCCATGAATATTGTTAACATTCACTACTCTCATCATCATCTGACACTGGAGTCTCCATTGGAAGCATAACATTATATCACTTCAAATCAAAATCAAACCGAAAAACTGATTAATTACTTACACAAAGAGTAACATGCTATAAATTAGCGCTGTTTCCCTGTACAAAAAAAAAAAAAAAAAAAAACACTCCATTGCCCCCAAAGCTTCTTCTTCCCATCCAATTCAAGAAAGAATCATTTATATACACAAAACACCAGCTATCAAAAGCAGCTGCTACAAAACAATCACGAATCATAAATTCTAATTCCCATTGCTCCGCCAGCACAAAATCAAATTTTGAAGAATAGAATACTCCTCTATTCTCTAACCAAGTTCAGAAAGGTACCTCTCAGCAATGGCGGCATGGAAGGCAGCGCCAACAGGCAAAACATCTTCATCAATCATGAAGTAGGGGGAATGAGCCGTATGAATGGAACCTAACGTCTCGTTCCTGACACCTATGTAGTAGAAGGCAGCAGGAATCTCCGAGTAGAAGGAGAAGTCCTCTGCACCCATTACTTGGGGAACCATCCTGTACTTCTTAGAGCCCAAGAGCTCAATGGCCATCTTCTTCACATGCTTGTACAGCGCCACGTCATTCACCATGGGAGGGTAGAACCCTTCTTCCTCAAAGAAGTCTACTGAAGCGACGCATCTATAGACTCTGGCCTGCATTGTAATAACCTGAGAATATAAAGTTTGAATGAATCTTCTAGCCAGAAGTTTAAGAAAACGAAACCATACATAAATAAAAAAGTGTCAAATGGTCACTTGATTCTTTACAGTGGGTCATTTTAGTCCCAGTCTATGAATGTGTCAATTTAGTCCCCGGATCTTTTAATGTAATGTTGAAATAGTCCCACCAAAAATTATCTCAACCGATTCTTTACAGTGGGTCATTTTAGTCTCAGTCTATAAATGTGTCAATTTAGCCCCCGGATCTTTTAATATAATGTTGAAATAGTCCCACCAAAAATTATCTCAACTCTAATTTGGCATTTTTATAGACTATAGGGCTCAAATAGTCCCATATAAATAGTCTGTGTACTATTATGGCAGTGGGACATTAATAGTCCTAGTCTACAAACTTAATCCCGAACTCTGTTGATATAGACTGAAACAGCAATTATAAAGGAGTATTTCAGCTCTGATTTAAAGAGTTCGGTACTAAGTTAACATTTGTATAGATTCTGGGACTAAAATTACTCTATATAAACAGTCAAGGAACTATTTTGATGCTTTACTTCATAATTAAATTTGAATCTTCAAGCCTTTCTCAACTGCCAATTATTACATGTTTGAGGCCATTTGAGAGATTGATAAACCAATTCGAAACCGGCTTCTTCTGGGTCCAAATTTGGGTTTTTCTTAAGACTTCTATTATCAATTGAAGGCAAAAAATAGCTCATGGTGGATTCTCAATGCGTACCTCCTCTATTCTTTGTCGAAGTTTATGAAAGGTAACATTGGAGAAGGCTCTGAAAGTTCCACCAAGGATGACAGTTTCAGGCACCATGTCTAGGCTGTTTGCTCCATTAACTGCTGCCACTGAAACTACCTACCAAAGGGAGATGAAAACTAAGGTGATAAGACATGTTGCCGAATGTGTAAAAATTTTATATAAGATGAATGCATTAAGGCAGAATAATATAAATTTTTAAAAATATGCACAGTTTTATTTTTAGGTCTGCAATAAAGATTCAGTTTCCAGTATCAATTCAGTGATGGGAATACTCATCTCTTATTACTAGTAGCAGTTAAAAAGAACTGAAGGACACTCTTTGGCTTTACGAAAGCATCAATGGTTAACATTTCTGAAGTTATTCTTAGCTCAGGATGCAAGACAGATTTTTGTTGAAATGCAATACATTTTTACATTAAATTATAGGAAATCTATTGCTATTCTGCAAGACAATAACTCAAACTATTCTTGTCTACAAGACAATATTTGTCTTGCCGTTTAGAAGAAAAATGTCTCAAAAAGAAAGAAAAGCGCCAAAATAGTCCACTGACTATTGATGTGGGGTCGTTTTTAAAAAGAATGCACTAGCAGTGTAACTTACCACAGTAGTTTAACAAGTGCATTCAACACCGTACAATAAAAACTATCTCAGCTCATCTCTCAGCCATTTATTCAGATCTCTGATATATTTAGTTGTCTATAATTACCTTCACTGTTATTGTACTCGTATGCTTTTCAGCATCACTTTACCTGTGTAAAATTAGTGCATCACTCACCCTGTTTTTCTCCTCTGTGTGGTCCGTTGATAACCCGTATTGCAGGTCATCAAATTCTTTCATAGTATCAGAACTTCAGCATCACTACGATGGAAGGCTCGTTATGCGCTCACTCTCGATAGCTGCTTTCAAATTTGGTCTTCTCTTGAGAAGAGGCTGCAAGCTATCAACAAAACTAATGTAATCCAGCTGAAGAATGAGCTTCATAATGTATCTATGAAGAATCTCACAATGGTACAATACCTAACTCAGATCAAAACACTGGTTGACAACATATCTGCAGAAAGAGCAAAAACCGATACTGAGGATATTATACTATATATTCTCAAAGGTCTTCCTCTACCTATCAGTCCTTCAAAACAGCCATTCAAACTCAGTTACAACCAATTGCACTTGAGGATCTCAACTCGCTTCTATTTAGTGAGGAAATTAATCTTGTTTCTGACAACTATGCTTGTTCTACACCGGATCCTCACTTAGCTCTCAATATGCATAAAGGAAAAGGTCAATAGAACGACAACAAAGGACGCAATCTCAACTTTAACTCAACCTCCAAAATCGCAGATAATCAGCAAAAATCCTCACACACCAAGCAAGCAACAAGACCTGGCATGCATGGTCAAATTTATAACAAACTTGGACACACCAAACTGACCTCCACCACCTACTTCTCTTTCTTACCTCCTCTAAACCTCCGGATTTGTATCTTGACACTGGTGCCACAACTCACATGACTGCCTCAAATGAATAGATTCAGACCGCTGAACCTTACAATGGTCAAGAACAAATTCAAGTTGGTAACAGTGCAACTCTTCATGTTTAACATTCTGGGCATGGACTCTTGCCAGCACCATCCCGTAAGCTTATCCTTTCCCAATTGTTTCATTCTCCTCAACTATCTCACTATCATAATTTGATGTTGCTGGCTTATCAAATTAAGGACCGGATCTCACAACATGTACTTCTTCAAGGACCTTGCCGCAATGGGTTGTACCCAATTCCAGCCACTCATCAAGCTCTAGCCTCCACCACAATCAATAAAAATATCTGGCATTGTCGTTTGGGACATGCTAGCTCTCACACTCTTGCAACCATAGCAAATCAGCAACCCCATCTCTTAATTTCTAGCTCTTTTTCATTTTGCCAATCATGTACCCCAGCTAAATGTCATCGTTTACCTTTTACTTCTAGTCATACTAAATGTAATCTACTAGAACTTATACATTCTGATATCTAGGGGTCATCCCCTATACCTTCTGTTCAAGGTTTTAATTATTAAGTTCTTTTTATTGATGATTCAGCTAGCTTTACTTGCTCTATCGTACGCAACTTAAGTATGAAGTTCTCTCATTTCATTAAATTCAAACACTTTGTGGAACTTCAATTTGATAAGAAAAATAAAGATCTAAAAATAGGCGGGTGTGGGAAGTACAAAAACTTCAAATTCAGTGAATATCTACTCAATAATGGTATCATTCAACAAACAACATGTCCTTACACTCCCGAACAGAACGGGATAGCAGAACAAAATCATCGTCATATAATTGAGACAACTTGTGCTCTTCTAGCCGAATCCAAACTTACCCCCTCCCTATGGCTCGAAACAGTCCCTACAACAATCTATCTGATTAACAGGTTGCCATCCCCAAATGCATCAAACATATCTCCTTACCAACTTATTCATGGCTGTCCACCATACTATTCACACCTAAAAATCTTTGCATGCGAATGTTTTCTTTGTTGCACACCTCTCAATGCCATAAACTTCAACAACAATCTATTTCACGCATATTCATTGGATATCCAAACCACACCAAAGGCTACAAGTGCTTCAATCCTCTCAAAGGTAAAATCATCATTTCAAGGTCCCCAACTCTACAACAACCATCTCCGTCTCCTTCCCCACATCCCTTCACTCTTCTTCCCACTACATACAGCAAAAACAAACAGAATTTTCAGGCCCCTCCCATTCCTTCGGCCAGCCCAACTTCTCCCCAGCAGTCATCTATTCACACTTCTACATCACATCAGCCGCCAACAATTCCTCTATCCCCGCCTTCTACAGCAAATCTCTCTCAACCTGTATATGTATCTCAGTCCATCCTAACGATTCCTCACCCTCACCACATGAGAACTCGCTCAAAAGCTGGTTCCCTCGCTCCTAAACACAACCTCTACATGCTTACCCTTCACATACAAACAGGCAACACAATCCCCCTTATGCCGGCCAGCTAGGGATGAGGATATTTCATCCCTTCGTGATCAGAAAACCTGGCAACTTGTCCCTCCTCCAACAGATCAACCAATCCTTAGGTGTAAATGGATATTTTGTCTCAAAAAGAATCATGATGGCACAACTCAACGCTACAAAGGACATCTCGTCGCTCAAGGATTCCAATAGGAATACGACTTATATTACGCCGAAACCTTCAGCCCTGTTGCGAAGTTTCCACCATTCGCACCTTTTTAATTGTGGCTCTTCAATATTAGTGGCAAGTACTATCTCGAACGCCTTTCCTCACGGTAAGCTATCTAATTATGTATGCCATCTTCTCAAATCACTCTATGGTCTCAAACAAGCACCACGACAATAGTTTAATATATTTTCCATACACTTGCTACAACCGGATTTGAAATCAGTCATGTTGATCCCTCATTACTCACCTATCATTCCACATCAACACACATTTATCTGCAGCTTTGTGTAGATGATATTCTACTAAGAGGGAACAATCAAAGTGCTATTCATCAGCTCCTTCAAAATCTTGAACACACAATCTCGATGAAGCTGCTAGGCGCGGTTTCCACCTTCCTTGGCACTCAAATTCAGCACACCGATAATGGCTTTCACCTCACCCAAACTAACTATGTTAAAGACATTTTACAGAGGGCGGGTATGACAGACTGTAAACCTCAACCGACTCCTTTTAGGGTCTCATCCAAAGTAAACAGCGACTCCCAACAGCCATTTTATCATCCAGCCCACTTCTGTCACTTTGTTGGATCGCTCCAGTACCTCACCAACACAAAGCCCGATATTCAGTTTGTGGTTAATAGCCTATCTCAGCATCTACATCATCCTCCATCCATTCATTTTCAACGATAAAAAGGCTACTTCAGTACATAAAAGGAACTCTTACACTTGGCTTTCCACTTCAAGTTGGACCTCTTACTCCGCATGCCTATTCAGACTCCAATTGGGCCAGTGACACTCATGATCGTCATTCAGTTACTGGATACTGCTCCTTAGGCCCAAAACTCATCTCTTGGTGTGTTAAGAAACAACCAACAGTGGCTCGCTCCTCAGTCGAAGCTGAATACAAAGCTCTATCTTCTACAGCCACTGATGCCATTTGGTTACGACGATTGTTACATGACTTTCACATTTCCACAATCTCTCCGTCTACTATTCATTGCGACAGCACTTCAGCTATGGCTATAGCGCATAATCCAATGTTTTACGCCAGGACCAAGCACAAATATTGTCTATCAATTCATTCAGTAACATATCACTTCCAAGGAGATTGTTCTCAAGTATACACCACCTGATGATCAACCTGCTGACATTTTTACCAAGACATCGCCTACAACTAGCTACTCCAAGCTTCGAGACAAGCTAACTATCAGCAACCCATCCATTGGCTTGCGGGGGGATGATAAGAACTTACCACAGTACTTTACCTAGTGCAATCTACACCGTGCAGTAAAAACTACCTCAGCTCATCTCAGCCATTTATTCAGATCTCTGATATCTTTAGTTGTCTATAATAACCTTTACTGTCACTGTACTCAGTATGCTTTTCCGCGTCACTTTACCTGTGTAAAATCAGCGCATCATTCTCCCTATTTTTCTATTCTGTGGTTCGCTGCTAACCTGTATTGCAGGTCATCAAATTGTTTCAATTTTAGTCTCAATCAATAAAAATGTAAAATTAATCCCCAACTTTTTAAATTGGGACTAAAATAGTCCTCCAAGGGGACTATTTCAGCTCAATATTAAAAGAGTCTGGAGATTAAATTGACATTTTTATATACTCTGGGATTAACATGACTCGCTGCAAAGATTCAAGATATTATTTTGACACTTTTCTCACATCCAAGACATGAAGCTCCTGTCAATTCAAGCTTTGCAAAAGGGGCTCTGCATGAAGCCACAGCCATATCCTTTGATTAAATCCAAACTCACCTGTGAATCTAGAGGATTAGCTTCCCGTGACACAATATTCTGCAAACTGATTATTGCAGCAGAGACAGCTAAAACGGGGTCAATAGAATTGTGTGGATGCGGACTTCCTGTTGAACTTTGCCTGCCCCTTATCTCTGCTTTGAAGAATCCACATCCGGCTAGTAAAGGGCCAGCCATGGATCCAATGACAGAGGTAGGATGTTCATGAGTTACATGAGCAGCAAATATAGCCTCCACATCCTTTAGTGCACCCTCTTCAATCATTCTCCTGGCACCTACTCCTGCTTCCTCTGCTGGCTGAAAGAGCAGCTTAACAGTGCCCTGCAACAAAGAGAAGATATGAAGTTAACAGTGCTAAAATTGTTGTTCTCTTTTGTTAAATGACTAAATTACAACATTCAACAAACCAAATAGAAGCAATTTAGTTTACATAAATTTAGAAGATGGAGCTTGCATTTGAAGTTATTTTTTGATGCAAATGGGTTTGGGAGGACAAAGCATAAAATAATCTATTTATATATATCTTGTCTATTTAGTTTCTATTTATATATATAAATATACACACACATACAAAAATTTATCAAAATTGTAAATTTTATATGAAGCTCATTAATTACAAAAGAATTATCATAAAATTAACAAATAAATATATACAAATAACTAATAAATAAATCTACACCTTCAAACTAATTATAATTTTATTTCATATTTTTTATTCTCTCTTGCTTCAATCAAATATTACCAAAAAAAAAAAAATAATACAAATATATATTTGGAGTATGCAAAATTATTTTAAAAGGAATAATATTGTTGTTTAAATACCAAGATAATTTTTTTGTTTAAATACCAAGAAAAAATTGGTTAGATAATTGGTCATTGCTACCAGTAATCGTGGAGCCCTCATTAAGAATTTAATTTTTAGGATCAAAATAGTTTTAAAATAAAAATGGTAATTTGTAAATTTATTTGTTTTATTGTTATTCATTAACATTTAAATAACGTTGTTGTTGTTGCGAGATCTAGATATATAAGTTGATGTGGTATATATATAAATCAAACAGGAGAACGATCGACGAAGTGAAAAATAGAATGAGAAAATTCACACCAGAAAAGAACAACACAACGGAACACACAGATTTACGTGGTTTGGCAAATTGCCTACGTCCACAGAGTTGCAGAGGAATTTACTACTTGAGTAATTTACACCAGTCGATCACCTCAACTTACAAGAGGAATCTCTTACGCTTCGTTGTTCTCTCTCTTCTTCTCTCTCTATACCGAGATACACTAAAGAAAACTCTACACCGAGATACACTGAAGAAGACAAACTTACAAGAGAAATAAACTCAATTACGCTTCGTTGTTCTCTCTCTTCTTCTCTCTCTATACCGAGATACACTAAAGAAAACTCTACACCGAGATATAATGAAGAAGACAAACTTACAAGAGAAATAAACTCAATTTCTCTTCTATTTTTTCTTCTGTCACAAGCCACCAAGAAGAAGTCTAGAGAGAACAATCTTCTTCCTTCTTCCTTCTTCCTTCTTCCTTCTGCCGCAAGGAACTGCTCCTCCTTGCACTTCTCTTCCTCTGCCCCGAGGAGACCTTCCTCTATCCCGAGGAGACCAAAGAAGAACTCAAAGCGTGACTACAAAACCCAATGAGAGCCATCCGAAGCTTTTATCACGAACAGGAGAGAGTGAAGAGTGCTTCACTTCGCAAAAAAGAAAGGCGAGAGTGGTTATTTGTGAAAAGATGTGACTCTCCAAAGCAAAGTAACCGCTCAAGCATAGTGGACCGGGCTCCCCCGTCG